CCGGAAGTGCTGGTACAGCTGCGGAGGCGCCGCCCCGCCCCTTTTCCCTGTCTGGAGTTGGAGGCCGTTTCGGAGGACGCTCCTGCTATAGGGCCCCAAGCGGAGGCCCCGCCCTTTCAAGGCGGGGCAAACCAGAGCTCCTCACGTGACTTGTACTAACTTGGGTTCATTAAACATGAGATGGGAGGAGCCTTCCGAGCTTCTTAAAAGGGCGATGGTGACCACCTCTTCCTGGGCTTCGTCCCGCGTCGCTCTTTTTGCCTGAGAGGGAAAGGAGGTTTGCTAGCTCAGCTCTCTGATGCAATGAGCAGGTAATTGCAAAGGTTCACTGTGGGACAATTTTCCTATGTCCTCATCACTTTAACCCCCATTTCTGACACTTAAAACTACTAAGCAAGATTGAATATTAATATTAATAATTTATATTAATAAAGAAACGGAGGCTTGCTCTAACCGGTTTGGCTCAGTGGATAGAGCGTCGGCCTGCGGACTGAAAGGTCCCAGGTTCGATTCCGGTCAAGGGCATGTACCTTGGTTGCGGGCACAGCCCCAGTGGGAGGTGTGCAGGAGGCAGCTGATCAATGCTTCTCTCTCATCGATATTTCTAACTCTCTACTCCTCTTCCTTCCTCTCCGTAAAAAAATCACTAATAATATATTTAAAAAAAGAAACGGAGTCTTAAAGAACTGAAGTAATCTACCATAGGTTGATCAGTCAACAAATATTTAACAAAAGACTTTATGTGCCAGGCATTTTTCTAGGACCTGGGGATTCCTCAGAGAACATGTACAAAAAAAAAATATTTTTTATTAAATATGTAGGATAATTTCTGTGATAGTGAGGGGCTCACACACGGCTTTCCAAAAAAGTGGCATTTGAACTGAAAAATGCATGTTTAGGAGTCAAGCAAGTGATAACCTACCTGGGGGAAGAGTGCTTTAGTCAGAGGAAAAACAAATGCAAAAGCAATAGATTAGGCATGTTCTCGAGCAGAATGAAAGCTGTGTGGTGAGGGAGAAGACAGGTAGGGGCTAGAACACACAGGGCCTTCCTTGTAAGTCATGGTAAGCACTTTGAACTTGAAGCTGGTTGTGAGAAGCTCTCAGATTTGGGATATATTTTGGAAGTAGAGCTAATAGGACTAGATAAGGGTTAGATATGGGATGGAGAGGAATCAACATATAATACTAATGGAGTAGGAATGGGATCAAGATGTGCTTATCACTGTGCATATATATTTTTATGTGATATATATGTTTATATATGTGTGTGTGTATATTACCCCAAAAATGTTTAAAATTATTCCTTGGATTCCTAGGATTTGGGCCTCAACAAGAGGATTAATGGTGGTGCCATTTACTGAGAAGAGAATGGAAGAGGGGTAGGTAGGTTTGGGTGGGGAGCTTTTCAGTAGTTGTCTAAGTTGACTCAGGGATCCCAGTAGAAATGTTGAGGAAGCGATGGTACATACAGACTCAGGGGGGAGGTTTGTGCTAGAGATTATTATGGATTTCAGAGTCATCAGCTATTACATTCTAAACGGTAGGACAAGTTCAAATCCCGTTCAGTATGACCCATGGGTGCTGATTCTTTCACAAAACCAGAGGGCCTATCTGCTCCAGAATCTCTCTCTCCTTATTCCTGATGTGAGGGCTAATGTGGGCCCTTCAATGAGAGAGTCTGTGTCTTTAGCACTTGGCATCCCCTCACCAGCTGAACAGACGAAAAATGAATGCATGCATGTCTCAATGAACAAAAAAGGAGAAAATGGTCTGCAAGCCCTAGTTCTTAATTCTAGATGGCGCACAGAAATAACAAGGCCTAGCGTTGGCCGGGTGGCTCAGTTGGTTGGAGCATTGTCCTGACGCGCCAGGGTTGTAGGCTGGATCCCCAGCTTGTGCAGGAATCAACCAGTGGGTGAATGGATAGGTGGAACACCAAATCGATGTTTCTCTCTCAAATCAACAAATAAAAATAATTTAAAACAGTAACACAAGGTCTAGCTTGGAGCAGAGGGTCCTTTTGTGGCCTCTTCAATGATGACCTCCATTATTATTTATTTAGATAATAAATCTAAAGGATTCCTCTCATTTCTCACCTTTCTAGACAAGTCACCTTTGATGACTTGTAAGACATCATACTCTTCTGGTTTAATTTTTTTAACCACAGTCTTCTCTAATTTCCATCTCATAAATGCCGTTGGTCTTCAGAATCCTGCCCTCCATTTTCTTCTCTTACTAATCTGTACCTGCTTCCTGGGGCATCTCATTTATTCCTATGGCTTTATTACTGTTTATATATGGATGACTCCCCAGGCAGTATCTCCGGCCCAGATCATCAGCCTCCTAGTAGCAGATCCATGTAGTCAACTATGCTCTCCATTCAGATGTCCCACAGGCACCTTGAATTCAATGTATTGGAAATGAAACTTCATCCTTTTCACATTCCAGCCTGTTTACCCTTCCACTGTGATCCCCATTTCAGCCACTGAGGTACCAAACTAAGGATTAGGGGGACAACCTTGACATCTCCCTCTCATCTCTCTTATCCATTCAATCAGTCTTCAGGTCCTGTAGATCCTAC